AGGAGAGGAGAGAAGAGAAGAGAAGAGAAGAGAAGAGAAGAGAAGAGAAGAGAAGAGAAGAGAAGAGAAGAGAAGAGAAGAGAAGAGAAGAAGAGATCTGGATCTTGGTTATTATAACAAGGTATAGCACATGGAAGTGTTTCAGCCAACCTGATAACTGCAAGAGAACAAGCGCGACCACACCAGCCAGACAACAGAGGCAGAAAGAACCTGAATGCCAGAGGACATTGCTGAGGTCACCTCAGTTAACCAAATCCTGAACTGACCTCCTGGAAAGCAAAATAATGAATCCTTTCTATTGATTGAGATACTTCTGTTACTTGCAATTAAAGCAATCTTCAGCTGAGTCTCTTCATGCTGGCCCTATTGATTCTAGATCCAAGCAGACAGTCTTGTCTCTTGGAGCTGTAAGCATGCAAGGAGCCAGAGAGTCTAAGGGTTTGGCTTTGTGATAATGAACTGGGGACATGCCAGAGGACTGGCTGATGTGACGTTAGGATAAGTAAAGCATACATAAGAAAGTTGTCTGGTGACAACTGGACAAGCAGACGACGAGTGACAAATAGGAATATGTTATTATCCCTCACATACAAAGACTTGAAAATATGCAGATTAGCATTATGCATTTCAAGACCAAGGCACAGACTATGCTAGAACACCAATTTTAAAACACAATGGACTGTCTCTGTGATGGAGTAAGAAGTTTTATGTAACAGGCCAGCTGTCAAGCTATTGGGGAACTGTAAAATTGTGATTTACTGACTTTATAGTTACAGTAAGTAAAATGCATCCTGCAATAAAATGTCTTACCATATACTGGGCTAACAGCAATCCCTTTAAAATATATTTTTAAAATCCAGGAAATAACAAGGTGACAAACAGTTCAGACTGTTTAAATCTTTCTCTAGAAATCCCAAAGTATCTCTAATAGTTCCCCATCCACTACCCCACCCCTTATCTACGGAAGTGAAACCCTCCTCTCCTTTCTGGTCAACGGCCCCCAAGTGCTGTGTGAAGATTCAGAAACTGCTTGTTTGTGGTAAAATTCATCTTAGAACTCCCACCTCCATCTCCCCATCAGACTATTCTTCCCCAGCCTCCGGGTCTTTTCCTGGGTTGAAGAGTAGCCTCTAGAGGCAGGGCGCCAGCATAAGGCAGACATAGGGAAAGGCACAGAGGACTTAGTCTCCATCTCCCTAGACCCTATGTAAATAGTGCCGGACACCTTCGCTCCCTCCCTGCAGGTCTACCTCCACCTGGCAGGCTCTCACAGTGACCTGCAAACCCTCCTTCCCAGAGGCCCCACCCCCATCCAACCAATGACTCTTAGATGATGCTCAGTCTGGGAAGCCCCTGTTCTTTTCTCGGCCATGTGACCCCATCCTGAAGTCAAAGGCACCTGCTTGACTTTCCTCATCTGTGATGAGCCTCTGTGTTGGAGCCAGGAGATGGAGATTAGGTCCTTCTAAAACTTCCTGGCTATGGCCAACACCCCAGAAGTCTAGACTTGGTGTGGAAATGCACTGACAGGAACTGACCACCCGACATCTTCAAGATGGGGGGATGGGGGAAAGTAAGAGTTCAAGAAAAACCAGACACCACAGCTCACCTCAGCATTCCTATCCCCCAGACTGGGGTAGGATACCTCCTTCCTCAGCCAAACACGCTGACAAGGATTCCCAAGCAGGTACCTTCCCCAGGAAACGAGCTCTCCATGCCACTCTTCAGAGACCCACTTAAATACCTCATTACAACATTTTTGCAAGCTGGCTGAGAAAGGTGTGGGTAGCTAGGTGATGCCAAAGCCACCTCAGGGGAAGTACCAGCCTGTCTCTCCCACACAAGGGATGCACACTAACACAAGCATCAGCAATATTTCAAGAGCACCAAGGCTGTGCACACCAGGAGGGGCTGCTCATCTTTCCCTCAAGAAACAAGGGCTAATAAGCTCCACACCCCATCAGGAAGGAGGTTTGTGCAGCATTCTCAAAGACAGCTGAGTGAACTGTGGATATTCTTAGGCTTTAACAGTTTCATTTATGTGCCTGCCATATGCTACAGACTCCAAGTATTCCAAATTAAAAAAAAAAAAAACTAAATTAAAACATAGTACAGGAATGTTCCAAAAGAGGGAGCCAAGTTTTCCTTTCTTCTGTTCCCTGCCTCCTCTTAATACACCTACCACTATCTCTGTCTTCTCTAGAAGACTGTATTTGTCAATATTCTCCACAAAAATGAAACCAAATACAGGACTTAGGACTGAGAACTGACTTGTGCACTTGTGTCTCAAAAGGCCCCTTCATCTGCATCAGCAGGCTAGCAGCCCAGGAAAGCCAGGTGTCAGTCTAAATCTGAAGGCCTGAGCCCCAGGGGAACGAGCATATAAATCCCTATCTAAGGGGGATTTATAAGCAGGGAAGGGGGAGTCTTTTCTCCTTCCTTCAGTGGGTAGCAGAATGCCCACTCACAATGAGGAAGAAAACTGACTTCACACAGATAGATTCTCATAGACCACCAAAAGCAGCATTTTAAACTGGACATCCCATTGTTCACTCCAATGGACAGACAATAACCAACATCTGCACTGAACTATTTTGCAAGGCATTGGCTACAAAGGCACTATGCCTAACCCCTCACATGGGTGTATCACATTGTTTCCAATATGATCCTCCAGATTAACATGTAAGCAATCTATGTACTTTTCAAAATACACTAATAGATACTACAGAACATGTGTGAAGCTGGAATAACTTCCACAGACCCACTTTTAATTGGCGACAATTAGAAAGTAGTAAGGTCAAAGCCGAGAAAAATATCGTGTACATATGTACTGTGTACTTGTTCCTAAATATTCAAATGTTTTCTGCCTTGCAGTGAGTATCTCTTTGGGGAGGTAAGGGCATCTCCACCTCTCGGCCACTGAAGTTGGCCATGTGACTTGCTGTGGTCATCGGACTTGAGCAGACAGTCACTCTGTCTGAGGAGTGATGAATGCTGCACTAACTCACCCTTGCCTTCCCCCAGCCAGGAGCAAAGCAAGGTCTAGTTAGGAGCTGTTCCCCGGGCTTGGGTGCGAGGATGAGCAGAGGGAGAGGACTTGCAGGATCTCTCACATCCCTCAGCTACCAATGTGTAACACGAGCAGCCCGATTACCTTCAGTAGGAATAAGCTTGACCTCCACTGTCTAAAGGCAGCTTTTACTGGACTATGAGTCTTCTTGGCTTCTAACATCACAATTTTTAGTTGTTTATGTCTTATGCTTAACAAAAATCCATTGGGATTGTACTTATTTTTTAAAAAGACAATTAAGGTTATTTTCTAAAGGAAACATCTTAGGCCTATAATTAATCAAATATTGAAAACTAACAAGGGAAAAGAGTGTACTGTATATTAATGAACTGGAAAATTTACACAACATTGCCTCATTTAAAAGCCAAACTGAAGACAGGAGCGATGGCACATGCCTACAATCCTAGCACTTAAGAAATGGAAGTTTGAGGCTAGCCTGGGCTACACAAGGAAACCCAGTCTCTAACAAACAAAAATGACCCTAAGGACTAAGAATGTCGCTCCATAGTAGAGTACTTGTCTAGCAAGGCCCTGTGTTCAGTTCACTAACAGCCAAAAACCACAAAAACAAAGCCTTCTGGAGACTGGATTTAGATGGAGCTATTTGTCTTTCCCATTCAAAGCAAAATTTCCAAAACTATAAAGTAATTCAAGAGGGAATTCATAAGTAATGTTAGAAATAAGAGTTACACATAGTCAAGAATTTATGAACAATTTCCTGGAAAAAAAATGCACAAAGAGGAATCCAAAACCTAAACTAGGCATGGAAGAGTCCTGCCTCTATGTCCCTCTACCAACCGCCCAGCCCCAGCAGCTCAGCCATGCACTGGTGCCTCTGTGTCCCTCCAACAACTGCATCAGCAGCTCAGCCATGCACTGGTGCCTCTGGGTCCCTCTAACAACTGCATCAGCAGCTCAGCCATGCACTAGTGCCTCTGTGTCCCTGCACCAACTGCATCAGCAGCTCAGCCATGCACTGGTGCCTTTGTGTCCCTCCAACAACTGCATCAGCAGCTCAGCCATGCACTGGTACCTCTGTGTCCCTCCAACAACCGCCCCAGCAGCTTAGCAGTTCACTGGATGCTTTTCTCTTCCCTCTCTTCTCTCCCTACACACTGGTTTCTGCTTCCCGAGCTCACCTCCTGTCAGTTACTTTCGTATTGCTATGGTAAGATTCCATGAGCAAGGCAACTTACAAAAGAAAGCATTTAAATGGGAATCACAGTTCCAAGGGGTTAGAGTCCATGACCATCATAATGGGGAGCATGGCAGTGGGCAGGTGAGCATGGTGCTGGACCAGTAGCTGAGAGCTCACATCTCACAATCAAGAAGCAAAGAGAGTTAACTGGGAATTTTGAAACCTCAGTGCCCACTTCCAGTGACACACCTCCTCCAACAAGGCCACACCTCATAATCCCTCCCAAACAGTTCCACCAACTGGGGACCAAGCATTCAAATATATGAGCCTATGAGGGCCACTCTCATTCAGACAACTGTACCTTCTAAGCAAACTATGCCCTAGTCTTGGATTCAGGACTTGAATACTGTAGGAATACACAAATACAAGCCCGGGTGCTTCCCCAAGACTCACTTCTCTCACCCCTCCTCTCTCCATCCTCTATCTGCCACAGTCACAATTAACCTCAACCCAATTGTTTCCAATCTGTTTTCCCTCTCACCTTCCCAGACCCCAAACCTCAAGTTTATCTTTGATAAGCACCTCCCACAACCCTGGGGGTCCTTACAAATGGAAGGCGAGTGTTTTACCACCAGCCCAAGCCTCTAGCCTTGCCCTCCTGTCATGGTTAACATACCTACTTCACTTCAAGTTCAGTCATTGCAGCTCACCAAGTTCATTATAATCCTCCCCAAATCTCTGCCACTGCCCCCTTACCTCCAGTCTCATAACATCATACGTGGACAGTACAGAAAGCTTATGACTAATAACTCAGCTCTCAGTCTCTGTCTTTCTCTGTCTCTCTGTCTTTCTCTGTCTCTCTGTCTTTCTCTGTCTCTGTCTCTCTCTGTGTCTCTGTCTCTGTCTCTCTCTGTGTGTGTCTCTGTCTCTGTCTCTCTCCTCTCTCTTTCTCTCCCACCCCCCCCCACCCCCTGTCCCACCCTGCCTCTCTTCCATCAGTTATCATCTGATCTTACTGAAGCAAGCTCTGGTCACATAGCTTCACTAAGGCTCTAAGGCTCCAAATCTATCATCCATGCTACAAAATAAGGCCCCTTTTGACCTCAACTTCCCTCTGCCCATATCTCCATTCAAACCCTCACCTCAAAAGCTTCCCAACAGAACCACTCACCATTCACTCAAAATGGATTCTTTTTCAACCTCTGTGCCTCTCCTCACTCTGTTCCTTAAATCTGGAAAGTCCTTGGTCCATCGTTCACTCCAAACATTCCCTGGGTCAAATTGAACACCACTTCTTTCAAGAAGCCTTCTTAATTGTCTCAAATAGAATGACACCTCTTCTGACCTCCTATAGAGTACACATCTACTTTTCTTGACACTGTCATTTCCTGTGACTAACCCTGAAGTGCATAAACCCTGAGCTTAATATATTTGTGCATCTATCTTGCCCATGTAGTCCTCAGCCCTATTCTACATACAGAGCAATTTCAGTATCCCAGATCATTTCTTTGAGTCACTTAGAGTAAACTATCAAGGGTAATCTCTATTGTGACTCACCATCAAGTGGATGCGTCATGGTTTGAACTTGGATTTGAATAATCACACAACAGTGTGCACCCATCTACATCCATCTTCTTTCATAACACATTGTATATTTGAGATTCGTTCAGATCATACATTGTTGAATATGGTGTTATTTTTTTTATTACAGGCTAGTATTTCACTATATAATGATACAACAATTATTTAATCATTTCATTGTAGACAAAGACTTAAGAGTGCATTAGTCATTACAAAAAAAAGGCTTCCACGGCCATTTTTGTATATCTACTGGTGATCAGGCCTCATTTCTCCTCTCAGTCCATATCATTTGTACAGAAAAATGCATTTCATTATGACGTTTCCACACCTTCATCCAGTGTACTTTGACCTTTCTTATCCCTTTCCTCCTCTTTCCCTCCCACTAATCTCCTCAATAGGCTCTTCCTACTTTCATATCCTTTTATAAAATCTAGATTCTACGTGTAACAGAAAACATGGCATTTCTCTAAGTCTGGTGTCATCTGATTTGATCTCTGATTCCACCCAATTTCCTGTAAATGACACATGATTCTTTACTATGTATGAAGAAGCCCCACCGTGTACATAGATACCACTGATGGGTATCTGTGATGATTCCATAACTTGATCATGTGTGAGTGCCAGAGAGAACATGAGTACACGTCTGTCTACCATATATTCACTTTGATTCTTTTGGTCTATATCCAAAAGATCATCACTCATTACTGCCCTCCCCAGGAATAGAACCACTATTTGTATGTTTAATCTAGAAAATACTATCACACAGTTCCCCAAAGCATTTATACCAATGACCACCCCACAAATGATGTGACAAATGTGGAGTTGCTCTGCATCTTTGCCAACACATGTGATTGTTACATTTTTAAAAACCTGTCTGCTGACTGCACCCTTGTGTCTATATTTAATTATTACCACAGATGATAATATTATAGAAGCTTCTTACGTGCATAAGATTCCAGTGTCCATGCCCTACAGTCTGACAAAACGAGCAGTGACAGTCCCTTCCTTGTTACTATCTTACAGATGAAGAAACAAGGCTCAGAGATGTCAAGCAGTTTGCCCAAAGTCATGGTCTGTCATTCAGTGGAGACAGTGATTCTGTATAGCCATCTGCCTTCAGCTATGACACTGTAAGGTTTTACCACTCACAGTTAACCTGCAGTTCTCTGAGCTCAGGACTTCTCTTTAGTTTATTGGTATTACATGAATAAGGTGAATTAAAACATAAAATTGGTATTGCTCTATACACAAGAAGCTTATAGTGATTGGTTACAATATAATGATTAGGAGACATCATCATTTTTCATCTGAATCACAAAGAATAGAATTCCAGATCCACAGATTCAGTAACATCCACATATGTAGCCCTGTGAAATGACTCTTGATAAATACTGACAGACTGAAAATGGAACTCCTCCCTTTGGAGGTTGTTTTTAAACTCATTTATTTTTAACTATCACTAAGTAATCTTAAACACATCAAAAATATTAGGGGAAATGTGCTCAGAGTATATTTTATACTGGCATGGGAATAGCCTTATATAACCCTGTATAATACAAACTAATTGAAAAACAAGAATAGAAAAGTCAAGTTTGGGCTCTTAAATCCACCAGATTCCAACTGTATACTTTGCACACAGAACAACCCCCACAGTGGGGCATCTTTGTTGGTATTGTTTTATAATTACATCCTTTATGCAATAAGCCAATAATATACTAAGAAGCAGTGGTACAGGAAAGACAGGAAGGAAGGGAAGAGGGAGGGAGAAAGGGAAGGAGGAAGGATGGATGACAATAGCAATGTAAGTGTGCATGCACAGCAGCCGACAGCAGCTTCAGGCTGCTTATTAAAGATTATATGGTATTTCTTTTTTATTGAAAAAATTTTTTATTCATTTCACATACCAACCACAGACCCCCCATCCCTCCTCCCACTCCCCCCACATACTGCCCCCTCATCTCTTCTTCCAACAGGGTAAGTTCTCCCATGGGGATACAGCAAAGTCTGTACATTGCCAAGGCAGGACCAAGCCCCCTGCTTCATCAGAGGTGAGTAGGTATCTGACCATAGGTAATAGGATCCAGATCCTGATCACACTGCCAGAGGCCCCTCAAATAGACCCAGCTACACAACTGTCTCCCATATGCAGATCTAGTCCAGTCCCATGCAGGTTCCACGGCTGTCAGTCTGAAGTTCATGAGTTCCAATAAGCTTGGTTCAGTTGTCTCTGTAGATTTCTCCACCATCATCTTGACCCCCACCCCCTTGCTCATCATATATAATCCCTCTTCCCTCTCTTCGACTGGACTCCCAGAGCTCAGCCTGGTGCTTGGTTGTGGATCTCTGCATCTGCTTCCATCAGTTACTGGACAAAGGCTCTATGAAGAGAGTTAGGGTATTCACCAATCTGATTACCAGGGTAGTTTAGGCACCCTCACCACTATTGCCAGTAGTCTAATCTAGGGTCATCCTTGTAGATTCCTGGAAACTTCCCTAGCACCCGGTTTCTCCCTATCCCCATAATGTCTCCCCCATCAAAATATCTCTTTTACTTCTTACTCTGTCCCTCTCCCAGCTCAACCATCTTGTTCCCTTATGTTCTCATCCCCTATCTCCTCCCCTCTATTGCCCCCCATCCCCAGTTTACTCATGGAGATCTCCTCTGTTTCCCTTTCCCAAGGTGATCTGTATGTCCTTTTTAGGCTCTTCCTTGTCTTCAGCTTCTCTGGAGCTGTGGGTTGTAGTCTGATTATCTTTTGCTTTACATCTAGTATCCACATATGAATGTGTACATACCATGTTTGTCTTTCTGAATCTGGCTTGCCTCACTCAAGATTGTATTCTCTAGTTCCATCCATTGCCTGCAAATATCATGATGTTACTGTTTTTTTACAGCTGAGTAATACTCCATTGTGTGAATGTACCACATTTTCTTTATCCATTCTTTGGCTGAGGGGCATCTAGATTGCTTCCAGGTTCTTGCTGTTATAAATAATGCTGCTATGAACATAGTTGAGCAAGTGTCCTTGTGGTATGATTGAACATTCCTTGGGTATATGACCAAGAGTGGTATCATTGGATCTTGAGATAAATTGATTCCCAGTTTTCTGAGAAACCGCCATATTGATTTCCAGAGTGGCTGTACAAGTTTGCACTCCCACCAACAGTGGAGGAGTGTTCCCCTTGTTCCACATCCTCTCCAACATAAGCTGTCATCAGTGGTTTTGACCTTAGCTGTTCTGACAGGTTTAAGATGGTATCTTAGAATTGTTTTGACTTGCATTTCCCTGATGACTAAGGATGTCGAACAATTTCTTAAATGTCTTTCAGCTATTTGGGATTCTTCTGTTGAGAATTCTCTGTTTATATCTGTAGCCCATTTTTTAATTGGATTGTTTGGTATTTTGCTGTCTAGCTTCTTAAGTTCTTTATATATTTTGGAGATCAGCCCTCTGCCAGATGTGGGGTTGGTGAAGATCTTTTCCCATTCTGTAGACTGACTTTTTGTCTTATTGACTGTGTTCTTTGTCTTACGGAAGCTTCTAAGTTTCAGGAGGTTCCATTTATTAATTGTTACTCTCAGTGTCTATGCTACTGGTGTTATATTTAGGAAGTGGTTTCCTGTGCCAGTGTGTTCTAGGCTACTTCCCACTTTCTCCTCTATCAGGTTATTTCACCATTATCTCAGTACATCACCTCAGAAACTGCTGGGAGTCACACTGAATTAGTTACTATCTGTGTCATCGAGCATGTGTTTCAGCAGATACGTGGCCAACTACAAGGGAATCTGATTACATTTTATGCTATCGGAAACCACAGATGACACACTTAAGCAATGACATCTCCAAACCACCAGGCCTTGCTGTGCCCTAGGAATATCACTATCACTCAAGATGACTGTTCCTGGGTGGTCTGGTCACTCCGCAGTGAGTGTGCCATGACTGCCCACTTTGCAAGAGTCTATTCTTAAAAATTCATTTGTATCATTTGATGGGTCTAAAACGATTTAACACCTTAACATCTGAAGAGATCATACAATGTTTTAGAAGATGGTTAGATAAGGCACCCACCACGCTCAATACAGTTTCTGCTACATTGCAAATTAACTTGGTTTCTAGAACTACAAAAGGGGGGGGGAGCTAGAGACATGACTCAGTGTATAAAGTGCTGACTGTGCGACATGAGGACCTGGGTTCAAATCCCAAGTACCCATATAAAAAAGGCTGAATGTAGGAACCTTGGTCTGTAACCTGAGTCCTCCTGGCAGAATGGGAGGTGAGGCAGGAGACTCAGAGGCCAAAGGGCCTGGAATATTCAGCAGAGAACATCTATCCAACCTCAGACCAAGTGAAAGGAAAGGACTGACATCAAAAAGGCTGTCCCACACCCAAGCTGTGGCATGCACACACCTGCACACACCTGCACTCACATACACACAACTGATATAAATAAATAAAAATGTGAGTAAATAATTATTCAACAGTTTCCTCTAGAAAATTCATATTATAAAATATTACAGATGTTTGACTGTGGCCATTCATCTTCTGGACCTGTTTGCTTTCAAATCAATCAAAAATATTCACCTTTCAAGTTCAGACATGAGCATTAAAAACTATACCCTGTCCCCAGAAGCCAGCCAACATACCTCTCATGCATATAATCAACTCCAAGCAACAACTGGATAAACCATTCTACTATCTGGTTTTCAGGAAAGATTTTCCCAGCTTCTTTATATTCCTGAATTTTATAGTCCAGATCTCGGCCCTGAAACAAAACAACATAATCTTTCATATTTTTAATAGGTAAAATTTTAATACCAAGTTCTCTCAACAATGTAAGGCAAGCAAACCCAAGACATAGTGGATACGTCTTGGTATCCCAAGTATAAGGAGATATCAAGATGGATGACCCAGATGGGACCAGCCCCTCTGGAGAAATGAAAACTGAATGTTCTGCATGTCTTAGAAGTCATCTAACTTTGTTGTCCTATCAACCAAAAGACTACTCGTCTTCCTGAAAACATAGTCACTCCCACATAAATCAAAAGAGAACTCTTATTCTTTTTGGGCATTTTGTTTGGTTTTGGGGTTTTTGTTGTTGTTGTTATTGTTGTTTGGTTTTGGGGGGTTTTTTGTTTTGTTTTGTTTTGTTTTGTTTTTTGTTTTTCAAGACAGGGTTTCTCTGTGTGGCTTTGTGCCTTTCCTGGAACTCACTCTGTAGCCCAGGCTGGCCTCGAACTCACAGAGATCTGCCTGCCTCTGCCTCCTGAGTGCTGGGATTACAGGCGTGCGCCACCACCACCCAGCGAGCTCTTATGCTTATTGTCAGCAGTTACCAAGTAAAATCTGCCATTGTCCTCTAGTTCATGTCCATCTAAGTGGGTTTTATCTTTGCCATCAAGCAAGGAAAAAACGAATTATATAATGGAGAAGTGTTATCAGGTGCAACACAAATCTGGATGACATCCCCTGAATCTGTGTTCATATAAGACTAGGAATAACTTTCCTAGTACCCTAACTTTGCCTACAGAACCCTAACATAAGTGAAAGTTAAAAATGGAAGACAGGGGCTGGAGAGATGGCTCAGCGGTTAGGAGCACTGACTGCTCTTCCAGAGGTCCTGAGTTCAATTCCCAGCAACCACATGGTGGCTCACAACCATCTGTAATGAGATCTGGTGCCCTCTTCTGGCCTGCTGTCATACATGCTGTATACATAATAAATAAATAAAATCTTTAAAAAAAAAAAAAAAGGAAGACAGTAAAATTCAAATCAGAGACATTAATTGACGTTTTCCTGAAATGAAATTGGTGTTGGCATGGTGCACCAGCACTGGCTGCTATGGGAGATTCTTTTGAATTTTAACTTAAATTTGTTTTATTATTAATGAATATATAAATAAGGGGTATGTGTGTTATAGTTGGAGGTCAGAGGACAATTTCCAGAGTAGACTCTGTCCTTCCACTGTGGGGTTTGGGGATTGAACTCAGGTCATCAGATGTGTAGGGCAAGTGCTTTTCCTCACTGAGCCACCTTGCAGTCCCAGGTCATTTTGATGCTGACAGTGTCTGGGAATGGCTGAGTTTCACCTTCTCTATTAAACACCAGCAAACCCCTCGGGAATGCAGTGGCTGGTGGTGAGTGCATGGTTCTGAACACAACAGGGCAGCATTTAGTCCCTTACATGTTGGTGAAAGGTAAAAATATTAAGGCCTGAAGTTGACAATCATGAATGTCTCGATTTGCCTGGCAGTGTCTGATGTGACTCTGATGACAATATGTCTTAATATATTTTAATTACCACAGAAAATAAAATGCAGAGTGTTAAGTTCTCTTGGAGAACCCATATACCTCAAAACTTCAACATTAAAACACTGAGAGATTAAAGCTTGCTTGATATGTGTCCTCAGAAGAAAAAGGCCAGAAAAAAATGCTTTTGTGGGATGTGAAGCACAGGTCCCCTGGAGAGTGCAAGAGATACCTGCCATGGCCATGGGACCATAAGATCAAAATAAAGCCACACAGACTAGGCAGAATCCTCCTCAGATACAGTGCAAAGGTATTTCTAGCCAACGGGGCAATCGGGAGAGATTAGTTGTAATCAAACAACATGTGGCCAATGGACTAACTGCTTATAATACAGTTTTTAATTTCCTTCCAGTGCAGTGTGCAAATATTTGCTAAGCACTTTCTCTTTGCAAACTACGAAATAAGAAGTCCAAAGCATATCAAACATTCACATGCAGCCTTGATGAAACCGCCTTCCTCACTGGATTTTCTAGGCCAAGGAGATCAAAGCTTCTTGGAATTAAAAAATACAGTGAATTAATATTTAACTCTTAGCAAGAGAGAGAGAGAGAGAGAGAGAGAGAGAGAGAGAGAGAGAGAGAGAGAGACCAGTTCCCCTATCCTTCTCCAAATGTGCTTCTCCAGCACTCACTTTCCACCCTTAGCATGTCTCAAAGTTCGCCATAGCACACAAACTGTGCAGTAATAGTATTTCTGCAGGTTGTACAAATTATTTTTTGACAGTCGATCATTGTAGCATCCTAAGGAGTGGATGAGAAAGCTCTCCAGACAAAAGGTAGCCCATATCTACTACACTGTCTCTATTATCAGCTTTATATTCCCATCCAAGGACTCTACACTGTCTCTATTATCAGCTTTATATTCCCATCCAAGGACTCTAACTGGATAATATCTAAAGGATATTCTGACTGTGGTAAACATTTCTAATGTCAGAAAAACAGTGCTTCATCTCCTGGGGAGGGGGAGAGAGAGGGAAGGAGAAATGGACAGATGGATGGAACCTAAAAAAAAAAAATGAGTGAGGGTTGAGAGTTAGAATTCAGTTGGTAAATTGTTTGCTGTGCAATCCTGAAGACACACGTTCGAGTCCCAAAATGTACATGAAAAATCAGGGGATGGTGGTAGGTAATTGCAATCCCAGTCCTGAGGCGGTAGAGACAGGAGGGTCCCTGGGGCTTAACAATCAGCCTGACCTAACTGGTGAGCTTCAGGTCAAGAAGAGTTCCTAAAAATAACAAGGTAAAGGCTTTAAAGAACAGGAAGTTGTCCTCTGGCCTCCAAACACACACACACACACACACACACACACACACACACACACACACACTAACACTGCATACACACAGATATGTATGTACACTGCACACACACACAAGCATGCATACTGCACACACAGGCATGCATAATGCATACACAGACATACATACTGCATACACACAGGCATATATATTGCACACACAGGCATGCACACACAGGCATGCACACTGCAAACACAGGCATGTACACTGTACACACACACAGATGCACACACACATACACACACACAAGAAATATTGACACTAGCTTCTTCTATATTTCCAATATTTAGCACTTTAGAATGGCCAACATAAGTATAGCTGTCTTCATAAATTTGACCTTAAAATATATAATTGCCTATCTCACTTATAATAATATTGAGATTTCAAAAATTTATCTGTGAATTAAAATAGCATTCCTTTTAGGAATTTATTCTCAAACTACAAGTTCCTATTGTTGTTGCAGAATATTCCTTTACACTATGCAAAGAAGTGTTACTGTGACTGGTTTAATGAAGAGCCAAATGGTCAATGGCTAGTCAGGAAGAGGGTAAGCCAGAGTTCTAGGGACAGAGAGGTCTCAGGGAAGAAGAAGGCAGATTCCCCAGCCAGATGGAGGGGAAGCAGGCTGGGCAATACAGAGTAAAGGTAACCAAGCCATGTAAAAGAACATAGATTAAAAGATATGGGTTAATTTAAGTTATAAAAACCAGTTAGGAACAAACCTAAGCTAAGGCCAAGCTTTAATAATTAATAATAAGTCTCCATGTCATTTTTTGTGAGCTGGCAGCCCAAAGAAAAAAATCTCTCTACATATTGTCATTATAAAACCATACCATTTGAATACGAAGCTCTATGCGCTCATGGCGTCTGCAATGTCTTCTTTGAGAGTGAGCATAATTGTTTCCATGGTGACACTGACTGCTGCTCTGCCATTCATCTCCCACCATTAAA